TTATTTTAAAAATGAAATTTTACTGGAACATATTCACACTATGTGAATAGTGCCTTGGGACTGTAATGTTATTTTATGTGATGTCATGAATTTGCGCAAATTGCGAAAAATATTCACATTCATGCCATTAAATATTTCACATCAATCATTGAATAATGCTATAGGAATGAGCGCAAATTTAATATTAAGTAATGTATTTTCTGTTTACATTCCTTAGATACCTTGCAAGGTCATTTACGTGTATTCTACCTTACTTTCCAACTGGAACTATGGAGAGAGTTGATAGAGAAGGACAGATAGCTACTGCAAAGGTACATTATTTAAAAAGAGGTTGCATCATTGTATTGTTGGACACAGTGTTGTGTACAATATTGCAATGCTATTCTACCATCTTCCAATGATATTGTGTTATATGAATGCTATTTCAATTTGATGTTGCTGCACAGCACGCATCTTTCATACATGTTTGAGTGAAGTCTATTGTAATCATGAGGCACTACAACAACATTTGGGTTTTAGAGATACATTCTGAGATCATTCATAGGTTGTTGTGACTATGTTGTGGCTGTGCAGGCCACATATTCGAAGTACCTCAAAACACTTGCGAATGTTTTCGCTTTTTAATCTACTTCTAAGATTGCTTGAGTATCAGCTAATTCACTGTATTTTTGTTTACCCTTCTACGTAAAATACAAAACGTGTCAATCTCAGAAGTTAACATAATCACTGGTGAATTGAATGGACATGCTGTATTTAGCATACTGAAAATTACAACATGAACATATAAACCTTATTTCGGAGCAAATGACATTTGACTCAGGGAAGACTCAAATTGAAAGCTGCAATGATTACGAATGGCATTCAAACATGGCATGGGATTTTCTTGTGATTCGTACAAATTTATCACATTATAGTGAAAATAAAACTTTATGAATGACCTTATATTTCTCTACATGTTGTACCGATAATGCAGACACTAGCCACATTGCTGTCAGCGATTCCATACACTGCGAGAGGGCCGGCACAACTCATGATATATGATATACATGCATTGCAAGAACGGTTCTACTTCTCAGATGGTGTGATTCCAAGGTTAGTCATATATCTTGTATTCTATGCAAACAAAATTTTAATTTAAATTTTTTTTAACAGATTAGTGAAATTAATTACATCCATGTGAACATGTAAAATGTCAGTGGTACTGGTAACTCACAATATTAAAATAATAAAATTAAAGTGATGATTTTTCAGTTCCGTGTTTGCTCTATTAGAAGCACATCTCCAATAAAATAAGAAACACACCAAGAAATTGGTGCAAATTGTTCAATCGAAAATGAGAAAGTCTGTAGTCAGGATCTGTTGTTAATGGAAATTGTATCTATTTGGTTCAAAATTGATGAATAAATTATTGAAAAATACATAAAATGTGTGAAATGTTGCAAACAAATTTGATGATATTGTACAAAGAGATCACATCAATAGCATCACAGAATACATTGAAGACATGCATCAGACATGATAGCTTTGAAAAGAGAGACCTAGGTCATAAAAAAACAAAATGGCTCCAAGCATTGGAAAGATTTTGTTGATATGTCATGGCAAAAAAAGAAATGATTCCAAGATGAGTTGGCAGTGATTTTATTTCCCAATCTGAATTGAATGAATATAGTGCTTTTAGATTTAGATTTTTTCTTGTGTGAAAATTTCAGTTAGAACTCACTATATGTACACTCATTGAAAATTTTTGAAGTTACACAAACCATGGAACTATAAACCCCAGGAAGAACAACGAAACTAAGAGGATTAAAAAAAACCTTTGTCTTAGTTTATCTTACAGTGCTTTCGCTTTTGTTTCCACAACATTAGTCATACTCCATGTTAGTTGCCGCCGATACGCCTGTATCAACCGCTTTGCTGGAAACGGAAAACTTGAAAAAAATATTTCATATCTGCGCAGTAAAATATTTCGTTAACTACACATGCGCAAACAAGTCGGTCTGCAGGGTGACCTTCAGTGTACCGGAAATCATGCAACGGGTCAGAGTTTTAGCGAGATTTCATAATTTTCAATGTCGTTTTTAGATTATTTCATGTTTTTTTCAACCCTCGAAAAAATAAGGTTGCGAAAGTTTGCGAAACATGGGGTTTGGTATGCTGTTTGTTGAGATATCCCGACTTATTCCGTGTTTCCCTTCGATCGCCAGAAGTGGCAATGTGTTTTTTTTCCCGTTGAATGTCGCTCATTTATCAGTGTTTTTGTCTTGGCGCCATTGTTTTTTTATGCTATAACCGAAACAACTCGATCACGTGATCCCCGAAGTCGCCTGATTGACTACGAAAATGACCGATAGTCAGAGATAAACGTTCATTTGCGTAAATCGGCTTATTTTTTAATGCGACGAAATAAACAGTCAAAATAAACATTCGTCATCGCGGCAACTATCATAGTTCAAAGGAAACGAAGTGGTTGTTCTTCCTGGGGTTTATAGTTTTATGCACAAACCATGGTTAGTAATAGGCTTTTCAGCCACGCTGTTGACTTTGTTGAGTGGAGCTCATCATATGAGTGATTGTCTGGCGTCTGGGTAAACTTTTTAGCTCCGCTGTCAACTTTGTCGAGCGGAGCTTATCATATGAGTGATTGTCCGTCGTCGTCCGGTGTCGTTCGTCGTCGTCCGTGTCAATGTTTTACTTTTTCGACTTCTTCTTGAAAACTACAAGTCTGAATGCTTTGATACTTTGTGTATATGTACCTTGGGTAGACCTCTCTCAGATTTGTTCATTTCATGATGATATCTTCAATTCTCTAATTTTGGTGAATATGTTTGTCATTTTTGGTAAAAAG